AGGCTAGCTGGCCTGATGGACTCATGGTGCTTCCCATTTGCCTATAACCCTTTGGGCATGGTTCGAGCCATGGGGGAGGCGAAGAAATCCTTAAGGGGGGGGGGGGGGACATACTGAGTAGAATTCACACTCGGTCTGGGCCTAGGCCCTCCGGGCAAGCCGGCAGAAGGCTGGGTGTGACATTTAAAGTCTAGCCCAGACCCGAGTGTGAATTCTAATCAGTATTGTCCCTCCATTAGGGATTTCTTTGCCTCCCCATAGCTCGAACCCATGCCCAAGGGGCTATAGGCAAATGGAGCACCATGAGTACCATCAGCCCAGCTAGCCTGATGGTACTCACCATGCTCCCAAATGCCTATAGCCCTTAGTCTTGGTTCGAGTGGTGGGGAGGCGAAAGAAATCCCTTAAGGGGGGGGGGGGACAGTACCTAGAATTCACACTCGGTCTGGCCTAGGCCCGCCGGGCAAGCCGGCAGAAGGCTGGTGTGACATTAATGAGTTTTGACAATTGAGTAATGTGTAATAATTTACATTAGTTTGCTATTTTTAGTTTTTTATCTTTAAATTTTATTTTTTGTGGTGATTTTGTGTTTCTTTTTCTGTTTCTGTTGCTTTAAGGTAGTTTTTGGGTTTATTAGATCATGTTTGTGTTTCTTTATTTATTTTGGTTTTGTTTGTGAAGTACTGGAGTGGAAATTGTATTTGGATGGAGTGCAAGAAAGCGTTTGTTGGTTTTTGTTTTTTTAATGTTTAGTGATGGGTGCTATTTTGCGTTTGTTTGGTATCTTAGTAGATTTGAAGGTCAAATGTTGATAATGTGGATAAATGGATGAGTGTAAGCCATAAGGGGGCTATGAATGTTATGATTTTGGACTTTGGGTGAAGCATTTTTGGATGGTTAAATGGAATTAGCGGGAAGAGGGTTTTATCAAGTTGAAAAGAAAAATTGGATAGAGAAAATATACTTCATATGTTTTTATTATTTTCATTTATAGTTGTTAATTGCAGAGTGATGATCTTCTTCGTGTGCCATTAACAAATCCGGGGAGTGCGGAATCAAGAAACTTCACTAACACCAACATTGCGGGATGAAGATGATTTATGTTATATTAGTTTTTTTAATTTTTCTTTGTAATTTTATGTTATGTATTGAGTTTATTAATGATATTGACTATTCAATATGGTATGAATTCTTTATGTTTTTATTTCATATTCTGGATTCAATATCTGCAAATAAGTAATTTATGTATTTTTCATACAAAGAATACAACAATAATACAAATAAAAGAAGAACAATAGTATGAAATTATCTTAAAATAATAAAATTGTGAATTTAGGGACTTAAATGAAACATGAAGATTTAAGGATTAAAGGGTAATTTGAAAACCGGTAACCGAACCAAAAATTCGGTTCGGTTTACATTCGATTTTTAATCGAAACCGGTTCGGTTTTCGGTTTGGATAAACCAGTTCGGTTAACCGGTTTATCCCCCCCCTAGATCATAGGGTGTATTTGCTAGATTTCAAACATGTAGGGACACTACATATTCTTCAGGGTGTGTTTGTAAGATTTCAAACTTCTGTCATCGGCAGACCATCGGTTTAATCGGTCAACCAAGCAAATCGAAACTTGGTCCCTTGGTCGTTGACAGCCCGAGTTGGGTTTCAGAACCTAGTTTTACCTAAAAACTCAGTTTTTGATATAAAAATATCTACCATTAATAAATCATTAATAAGCTTTGAAAGAGTGAATATATTTTAGTGATTATTGTTTTGTTCTTTATTTAATAGCTAAAACATAATGACAAATTAATGTATTAACTCTGATCACTAGTGAGTGAGTTTTTAAAATCTCAAAATTTTTTTGTTATTAATTAGTCATCAGGAGACTAATACATTAACTATCATCTCCGCTGAAGTTTACACAATGGCTACTCTTTTTTACTAATTTTCTCACCGCTGCCACGAATTTTGTAGATTACCAAAATTTAACTAATAAGTTAGATTTTGTGTCTTAGTGTTGTTGGATTACTGCAAAATATTGGGTTCTTTTCACATATTGAAGTATGTTAAATAAATTCGATGTTTGTCAACCTACTGTATGCACTTCCAATTTTGATTGAAGTTTGTACCTATATTATTCTTTCACGTTAATCTTGAATAAATTTTGATTAAAAAAAAAAAAAGGAATAATGGATTAGATAAAGCAGCCTCAACAATTGTATTTTAATGCATATGCTTAATTTGCAATAGATAAAGCAAGCTTAATTATTTAATTGGACTTTGGCCTCTCTATGTCCAACCCATAATCATTTTGGGCTCACCATGACTCTATCTATTTTCACCAACGATTGGCCCTTCAAGACATTGCAGCCCCATCTGATCAGCCTCTCCTCTATATTTTCTTCAAGAAAAGAGAAGCCCAACTCCTTTCCAGATTTTTCAAGCAAGCTAATTGGTTTACTAATATATACAGTATGTTGTAATTTTGAGATTATATTGTTCCCTTTTAATGTCTTCATGAGGGTAAAACTAACCAAATTCTTCAAAAAAAACAAGATTCAAGAGACAAACAGAACAAAATATGTTATTACTTAAATTTTTGAGTTAAAAAGACGTTGACCCCCAAGGTTTATTGTTTTAGCCACTGTTCTGAAAACTGGACCAAACCGGACCAGTGATCGGCGCCCTATCTAGTCCGGATTACCATTTTAAACTATTCACAAAACGCCTAACCTGATCACCGGAGAACGAGAGGCTATCAAGTGCCGAGGTTAAAGGGTTTTTGTAGAGTGGAGGTCGGTGATTCAAGGGATGGTGTCGAATTGAATTTTGGACACTAGAATCAATCGAAATTTGGCTAGAAAAATCAACCCAATACTCGGGTCATGGCTAGCGAATGGGGGATAGTGCAAAATATAGTCGTTATGCCCAAAATAAGAGTTTGAAAAACACAAAAACTAGTTGACCGCTTTGAATCCGGTCAACCAGATTTAAGGTAGACGATAATCCTAAGGTTGATGTGTCAATTTTAGAATAGGCTATTAAGAAAAAAAAACAGGAAGAGATTGTTATACTAATATGGTTTACAGAGCTGAAAACAAGACAACATCATTACTAGGACATGACATGATGTTAGTTATCAGTTATCACAAACTATATAGTTATGCCAGTGTCTTGCAACTTAGGAACTTTAAGGAATACATTAAGGTTAAACCTATTGGTACAAAGTTCCAGAGAATGTTTGTCAGTTTTCTAGTCCATAAAGTTGTTTTTTCTAAATGGTTGTAGACTTTTCTTTGGGCTAGAACAGGCACACTTGAAAGGCTCATATAGTAAATGTACCCTATCAACTGTCTTTATCGATGCTGATAATGAACTTTACATTGGTTGTTTGTATATTTGAAGGAGAGAATGAGGAATCATGGTGTTGGTTCTTAGAGCATTTGCTTCGTTGAAACAAGGACACTGATATTTTTGTTAAATACAGAATATGTGTCATAAATGAATTAGAATTCAACATCCTTATGCCAATATTAGGTACTGTGTTACATACCACGCACTTGAATTCGGAAACTTGTTATGCAGTGATGCTAGAACCACGAACGAGTACAATTATAAGGCCACAATACGTCATATAAGGACAACAACATGGATGCATACAATTACTTTATGAAAAGTATCTACTAAACACTAGAGTAGGCATATGTTTTTGATTGAAAATACAAAAGTAACCATACCACCAACAATCTGAGTTAGTCCTAGAATGTTGCACTAGATACTGTGAGAACTTTAACCATTACCAAACTCCTTAATTTCATTAGTTTATAAGTGATAAATAAACTTTATATTAGGATAGAGAAAACTAGAACTTGGAAAAGGAAGTTAACACTAGTTGTTAAACGCAAGCTTGTTACCATTGCTAAACAAGACAGTAATTGGAAGCAGTGATTAGAAACCTGACTCGTGCAGTGACCNTTTTCATACAAAGAATACAAAATAAAAGAGAAACATAATATGACATTATATATAAAATAATAAATATTTAAATTTAGGGGCTTGAATAAAACATTGAAGAATTTTATGGATTAAAAGGTAATTTGAAAACCGGTTAACCGGAAACCGAACCGAAAATTCGGTTCGGTTTATATTCGGTTTTTAACCGAAACCGGTCCGGTTTTCGGTTTGGATTTTCTCCAAAACCGAAAACCGGTTCGGTTTTCGGTTTGGATAAACCGGTTCGGTTAACCGGTTTATCCCACCCCTAATCTGATCTTAAACAATTTCAGGGCATGCAGTAGTTCTTTCCAATGTTTTAAAAAGCGGGTGAAACCCGGCAAAGTTGCCGGTTCCTGGGTTGATCGTTGACAAAACTTTTAAAATTCAACAAATACACCCCTAAAAATTACAAGTAAGTCCCTATAGGTTCGAAATTAGCAAACACGCTCCAAATACAAATCCGCCGGCGATTGGTTGATGGTGATGACACATCAAATGCGATTCCAATCGTCCCTGGAGCCCATTACCCCGAAAATCTATCCAAGATTTGATCGAAATCAATTTGATTTGGGTTTGATCTCATCGACGTGGGCGTCGGCATTCTAGGCTAGATCTCACCGACGCTAGCATCGACAACCCCCTCCCTTCCCTCCTCCAATCACCTTAAAAATACTTCCCTCTTCCTCCCGACAAAAACCCACCTAACCCCACCCTCATTAGCCTCACCAATCGTCGGCAAAAGTCGACTGTTGTCATCGTTAGTTTTTTCGATTTCTGATCGATTCACTCATCGAAAATCAACTCCACCACTACCTTTGCACTCACTGACACTTTCTCTTCAAAAACCCCAACATCTTGGCTTTCAATTGTTTGCCGATTATCACCCCAAATTCTAAAGTTTTGGGTGAATAGGAAGAATGTTAACCCGATCCGATAAAGTTCCCAGGTCTCGGTTAAACTAGGACGGGTTTTAAAACAGTGGTTCTTTCTCAGTGCTCAATGTCAAATTGAAACATAAAAACAAAGTGCATACATGAAAGGATCACAAACTATATGTTCCAAACATAGGGACTTAACATATTCTTATTCTTACAAATTGAATTTACAATTTTGAAACTGAACACACTTCTGAACTTCAGTCTATCCCTCAAAACTCTACAAAAAAAAGGGGAAAGGAAGCCATACTCTAGTGATGGATATAAATAAGAACTATATAAAAAAATAATAATTAATAATGAAGCACACCATGCTGAGGAAGAAGCATCGCCAACAATTTGAATCATGTACTAATCAGCAACCATTTCTGTAGCTTGATCCAAGCAGCTCTAACTAGTGTACATGAGGTCTCCACATGGTTGCAAATAAATATGAATAGAAAGCAGGCTCTCAAACTGCATTCTCCTAGTTCCTTTTCTTTGGTTCCCCTAGAACAAATTCAGCATACAAATCCTTCAGTGCGATCACAACTGTCGTTATCAGCGGCCCCATAATCGCTCCCTGCAGAATGTTAGAGAAGATAAGTAAACCTAATAACCAACCAGCAGCAATTACATTTCTGATCAAGCAATTCGTCAATAGTTCCATGTAAACTGATTAGCACAGATTGTGTCCTATCACTATCAAAAAATCAAGATGAGATTGTGTCCTACAGAATAGGGATATGCTTTAGAAAGATGTGAATCAGAGTGTTAAGTATTCATTTGGAAAACGATCCTTTCAAATTGCTGAAACCGAAAAAAGAATTGCATATTCGAAGGGAAAGTTGGGGAGAAATCATGATCATAAACACCATAAATATTTATCAATTACCTCCAATGCAGATGGAAACAGTGTCATTCCACCAATTATGCTGAGTCCTGTGAGGTATGCGCTATAACCGGGTATATCCTCCTGAATTTCAGATGCTCCATATTCCATAAGGAGAAGATGCATAACAGACAAGATGATGGCATGAATATATCTACTTTCAAGCAGGAGTTGGACAGCAGCTGGTATTGTCGCAAACCAAGATGGAAAGATAGGGAAAAGTGGGTTGATCAAAGCAAGGATGGTTGACATATACAAGAAGTGTATTTTGTACAGTCTAAACAATAGCCATGTAAGACATCCCTGAAAAAATGCAATTTCGGCTGTGGCCAAAAGAACACCGGAAACAGCATTATCAATAACTTCAACACATCTGACCCTCGCAGACTTTGAAATCGGAAGCATACACATTACTTGTTCTGTTACTCCACCAGATTCGGACGTAATAAGATAATACAAAACCCACAAGAATAATATCAACTGAGACACGAAATTGAAAACCTCTGCAGCTCCAGATATTATGGAATGTCCGATGGAGAACATAAGCTTCGCACTACCACCTAAAACTGATGCACTACTAGCAAATAAACGCTGTGACACATTCACTCCTTGGGCAGCGAACCCTTTTGCCTTCTCAACTAGATCCACCCTAGTGATTGTCAATTCTTGAATAATAGCATTGAGTTTTGTATAAATTGGTCCCCACTCTCGATTGTGAACCCTCTTCCTTAAACTCACAAGTTTCTCAGCATATGGAGAGGGGCTCATCAAAGCTGTTGATTTCCCTGAGGAATTACCAGATGGTGCTATCACGAAATGCTTAATCCCCGTAACAAATTCAGTCAAGTTGTACTGCATCGCCAAGCTATCTATCTGCTCAGACACGGTCTCATAAACCGTGGTAGTGTATCTATCCACCATTCCGGGCACATCATTCTCCTCCATCCACTGTTTAACACCCATTCTCTCGGCATAATTACTCTCCTCAACATGTGATTTGATTGAAATCACAGCATCTTTTCCTTCAAAACCAATCTTATAAGAGAAAAATATCATTCCACTCAAAAACACCACAATCATACCAACAATCAACCCAATTGCTACAATGGTTTCCAACCTTTTCAATATGCCTCGTGTGAAAAATGCGCTAACTGGACTACGCCTAAAACTATTAGACCTAAATGATGAAACAGCCGACATGGTTGAATCGACATTTCTAGTACTAAACAAAAATCCCAAACCAAGTATCACCAATGATCCAAAACCACCAATCCTCTCATAAGCAATTACAAACACACCAAAAGACACCAGCCACCTAAGTAACTTCGAAAATCCAGTCCGATTACCTATAGAACGATTACTTTTTGATCTTTTAAGAAAAACCTTTAAGCAAACATCCTTAATATCCACAAGAGTACCAATGAAAACCTTAAACATAGCAACAGGAATAGCAAGCACAGTCTCAGTAAGGCCAAGTTTCAAGGGCTCACTCCAAAATGCAACAAGGGCTTGTTGAATACCTCTCAGTGGAATTGAGCACAATATGGCCCACTGAATTGGCCTAAGATACTCTTGCAATAACTTGCATATAAAGTACAGAATAAAAATAGTGAAAGCAAGACCAGCATGAGCCATGGCTATGTATAGAGCAAGTCTCACCTGAGGATCACCAGACAATGTGTTTTTATGAACTGGGTCAGTGGACTTTCCCTTCTCCGGCTGTGGCGCTGGCGGCGCGTGGTCTTCAGGTGGCGGCGCGTGAGGCGGAGGGTTTGGCGAAGGCTTACGAACTGAGGCTGATCTAAACATGTCCTCCCATGGAATAGTTGTAGAACTCGGTTTCCCATCTGGGTCCCCTGAATATGGCACTAACTCCATATCAAAAAACACAAAGCTTGGAGCTTTACAACAAAGATTGGGTTTTTAGATAAAAAAAAGAGTTCGTTTCCCCTTGTTTTGATTTTTTTTGAGAATGTTTTTCTTGACCAATCCCCAGCTGACACAACTGCAAACAGATAGAGAAATTTTTGGTTCTTTTTTAATGAAACCCACTCAGAACAGAACAGAACACAGCACAAGAGGAGGGAAGTGACAGAATGATGATGAGTTTGATGCTGACACAAGAAGTGGGTATTAATGTGTGTTGTGTCAGCAAACCTTTCGACTATATTTAGGTTTGATGATCTGAATGGATGAATGAAATGAATAATTTAGAGGCTTCTGTTTGTGGGGATGAAGTAAAGTAACTACAGAACCACCCTTTCATCACCTTTATTTTTCTTAATCTTATTAATTTATTATCTTAACTCTTAATTGACTTTCTCAATGACTTGGAATTATCACTGTTCCCAAAAGAAAAAANCACGATACTCTACTTCAGCACTTGACCTTGCAACAACTGCTTGTTTCTTACTTTTCCATGAAACTAGGTTTCCTCCAATAAGAACACAAAAACCTGAGGCAAAACGTCTATCAGATGGAGAACCTGCCCAATCAGCATATGAATATCCAATAATATGTGAATGGCCCTTATTTTCATACATTAAGCCTCTACTTGGTGCTCATTTGATATACCTTAAAATCTGGACAACTGCATCCCAATGACTATCACATGGAGTTTGAAGGAACTGACTTACAACACTGATAGAAAAAGAAATATCAGGTCGTGTGATAGTAAGATAGTTAAGTTTTCCAACAAGTCTTCGATACCTTCTAGGATCAGCAAGAGGCTCCCTCTGTCCATGTGAAAGTTTTAAATTAGGATCCATAGGAGAGTCTATTGGTCTGCAATCTGATTTCCCTGTTTCCTCTAGAATATCCAATACATACTTCCTTTGAGAAATAACAATACCACATTTGGACTGAGTGACTCCTATGCGAAGAAAGTATTTGAGTAGCCCTAAGTCTTTCGTCTGAAAGTGTTTGAACAAGTGTTGCTTCAACTGCCCAATGTCATCTTGATCACTTCCTGTAATAACAATACAGATGACTAGATAGATACATTGCCCTGATGATGTATGTCTATAAAAAACAGAGTGATCAGACTCACATCGAATCATACCAAACTCTTGGATAACTGTACTAAATCGTCCAAACCAAGCACGAGGAGACTGTTTTAGGCCATATAGAGAACGACGAAGTTTACATACCAAACCAGACTCCCCCTGAGCAACAAAACCAGGAGGTTGCTCCATATAAATATCTTCTTGAAGTTCACCATGAAGAAAAGCATTCTTAATATCCAATTGATGCATAGGCCAGTGTCGAATGGCAGCCATAGCAAAGAACAATTGGACAGAAGACATCTTAGCAGCAGGAGAAAAGTGTCAAAATAATTTGTCCCATAGATTTAAGTGTATCTCTTGGCCACCAAACGGGCTTTCAGCCGATCAACCTTACCATATGGACCCACATTTACAGTGTAAATCCATCGACAACCAACAGTCGAATAGCCCGGAGGTAAGGAAACTAACTCCCAAGTATGATTATGATGCAAACCAGACATTTCTTCAACCATTGCCTGATGCCACCGGGGGTGAGAAAGTGCCTCATGAACAATGCAAGGAACAGAAATAGAAGAAATGGTGGATACAAAGGCATAATATGAAGGATATAAATGATGATAACTCAAAAAATTGTAGATGAGATGAGGATTGCATGTAGATCGCATACCTTTACGAATAGCAATGGGAAACTGATCAGCTTGAGACAAGACTGTGGCATTGAAGGAATCGAGCACAGGACCCTCAGTGATAGGGGTCTTAGGAATAGCAGCAGGAACATCAGGATCACCTGTAAAAGGAACAAGACTATTGTTGAAAGGAAGAGTGGTATTAGTAGTAGACTGAGGTACCAAAACAGACGAAGGTGGGAAAGCAATGTAAGGAATTGGTCGGACATCTATTATCGGATCAGACTCTAATGTAGGATGAGGAAAAAACAGAAAAGACTCAAAGAACGTAACATCAGTAGAGATGAAGTAGCGATGTGTGGCGGAAGAATAACACTTGTAGCCCTTCTGAAGACGTGAATACCCTAAGAAAATACACTTCGCAGACTTGGCTAACAGTTTATCCTGACTAAGAGAGAAAATGTGAACAAAACAGGTGCTCCCAAAGACATGTGGGGGAAGAGAAAATAATGGACGATCAGGGAATATTATGGAGTGTGGGACCTGGTCTTGTAAGACAGAAGAAGGCATGTGATTTATTAAATAACAAGTGGTTAGAATAGCATCAGCCCAAAAACGAAAAGAGACGTGGCTATGTAAAAGAAGAGTGCGAGCAGTTTCAATGAGGTGTCTATTTTTATGCTCAGCAATGCCATTCTATTGGGGACTATAAGCACAAGAAGATTGATGTATAATTCCCTGAGATGACATAAATTTAGTAAAGGAATCAAAGAAATATTCTCGAGCATTATCACTCCGTAATATACGAATGGTAGTATGATGTTGAGTCTTAATTTCAGCACAAAATGATGAAAATATGGAAAATAATTCAGAACGAGATCGCATAAGAAATAACCAAGTGCAACGACAATGGTCATCAATAAAGGTAACAAAATATTTAAATCCCAAATTAGAGGTAACACGACAAGGACCCCACACATCTGAATGCACTAACTCAAAGGGGGACGCAACCCGTTTAAAGACATGCTTTGGAAAAGAACTACGAGTATGCTTTCCAAGTTGACACGACTCACAACTCAAGGATGATAATTTAGATAGACCTAGGATCATTTTCTGAAGTTTGGAAAGACTATGATGGCCCAAACGATTATGAAGGAGATCCAGAGACTCGGAGATAGTGCATGCTGTAGATGGGATATGGAGATGATAGAGACCCTATGACTCACGTCCTATGCCAATCATCCGTCCTGTGTCGCGGTCCTATATAACAACAGAGTCAGTATCAAAACGAATAGAGAAATTTAAAGAGTGTTTAAGTTTACTGACAGACACGAGATTAAAGGGACAGTAGGGAATATAAAGCACAGAGTTTAATTCTAAGGAAAGGAAGGGTTTTGCACAACCAATAGCTTGAACATCGGCTTTAGACCCATTAGCTAAAGTAACATGGAGTAAAGATGCAGTATTTGTAATCTGAGTAAGTAAACGAGGGTTAGCAGTAATATGATCCGAGGCACCTGAATCCAGGACCCAAGGTCCTAGAGCAGAAAACTGAGTAAGGCAGGCAACTGAATTACCTGTTTGAGCGACGGAGGCAATGGATGAAGAAGACTGCTTACTGGCCTGATACTGTAAGTATTCATCATAATCAGTACCTGTGAGAGTTAAGGAGGGTTGAACCTACACTGTAGAGGACTCAGAATGAAGATCATAGTGATTAGCCTGAGCAATATTAGCAGCCCGGGTAGGTCGACCATGTAACTTAAAACATTTCTCTCTGGTATGCCCCCACCAATGACAGTAACTACACTTGGGTCGATTTCCTCTACCACCTTGATTGCCCTGTTCTCTTTTAGTAAAAGTGTGGGACTGAGAAACAAGAACCGAAGAGTCACCAGGGGAATGCATTGTAGTAGGGGAGGAAACACGAAGTAATCAGGCAAACACTTCATCAAGGGAAGGCACTATAGATCCAGAAAGGATTTGACCTCGAACAGGTGTAAGATCTGGACCTAGAGCTGCAAGTGTCAGGACCATAAAGAACTTGTCCCGTTGAGCCAAATCTTCTACCGTAGATTTACCAGCTGGTAACAGCAGATTGAATTCTATCTTAAGGGAGGCCATCTTACCAAGGAAGTTCGACATATTCATATCCTGTTGTTTGAGATGAACTAAGTTGGACACAACAAAATATAAACGTTGAATGTCATTTGTATAGAGAAGTTTAGCCTGACTCCAAATATCAACACAAGAGGAGCAAGATTTGTAAATAGGGTGAAGGGGGGGATCAATAGTTTGCCATAACATACTACACAACAGAGCATCGATTTTAGTCCAGGAAGACTTATCTGATGTAATATCGACAGCCTTGGTGGTCAAGTGATCCTTCAGACCTTAACCCATACACCATAATTTGACAGAGGTAGCCTAGGATGAATAATTAACAGTCCCAATTAATCTCTCAGTGGTGATGGGAAGGAGAGATAAAAAAGAAAAACCACTTGGATGTGACTGAGAGGCTGATTTAGGGGGATCTATGAAGAAGATCAGAGTGTCTTGAAGTTGATAGAAAAACAAAAGCTCACACTCGCTGGAAAAACTGAACGCTCGCCTGAAAAACAGATCAGAGCAGAAACTGACAGAAATTCCTTGAAGGGTTTTACCGGCGAGGTGGAGAGGAACAAGATGTTGGTGGTTGTGAGATCTCATGCTCACCGGAAAAGCAGATCAGAGCAGAGGCTGTCGGAAACTAGATCAGCGCATGAGGGGGCGTGCAGCGGAGGCCGACAATGAAACCACTTGGGTTATGACGACGATGAGAAGACGATCAGTCTTGTATGATTAGACCAGATCCTGATCGTTGCTAGAGAGTAGTCACCGGAGAATAGTCGCCAGAAAAAAAAAAAAAATTGGAACTTTAGAGACCTTGCTCTGATACCATGTGAATAAATATTTTGTTTTATTACATATTTCACAATGAAATGTACAAGGAATTTATAGCAAAAAACAAAAAACTAATCTAGGGAGTAAATTGTTACATTCCTATTATAACTGATATAATTTTTAATAGCTTTGATCCTAACCTAATATAGAAGATAGTCTTTAATGAGAATAATCCTATTTCCTATTTTACAATATTTTACACTTCAACACATTGAAATATTTTATAGAAGCAAAATGTTGCTCAACCGAAATTCATCTATCAAGACGATCGTTGGAATACTTTCGTAACTCTAAAGACTCCTATTTGCATGTGAAAAGTAGTAACTATAGTTGTCAAAATCAACTAACTTCAGCGCTAAAGCTGAACATATAAATATAAATTTTAACATCATTTAGATTTGGAAGCAAACCTGTAAAATATCAAGCATATGGGTCATCTAGGCAACGAGTTCACGATGCTTTGAAAAATACAACTTTTAAAATATTTGGTCCAAAATTTCAGCTTCACCATTAGCCTGATCAAGAAGTCAATTGAAACAACATTTTGGTTGAAGTACACAATGTAACAAGAAAGTAAGGCAAATACAAATTGCAGACACATAAGCAGCAAAAGTTTTTCTTATTNAATAATGATGTTGATTGATGAGTAGAAGTTTTGGTAGTATGTGATTAGATGAAGTTTGGTTGAATTTAGAAAGAGTTTGAGTAGAATTATTGAAGCATGTTTCCTAGCCAAGTTTGATCTTGTTTTAGAGGAGTTTTACTCCAATTATGGATGGTTTAAGAAAGTAGAATTATAGTTAAAATAGAATTTGAGTATGCATGTATGATGTTTAATGAAATGTCTAAGAGAATTGTATGCATGAGTAGAGAAAACTTATTTTTGTGCTACATGGCATTTTTGCATTACATGTTTGCACATAGAAAGAATTAAAAGTATGAGCCATCCGCATGCATACTTATGCATATGTATGAGAACCTAAAGAATAAAGAAAGAAAAGCACTAAAGAATAAAAGAAAGAAAATCACTAAACAATAAAACAAAGAAAAGTGCTAAAAAGAAGAAAAGAAAAGGTTGTTGCGATGGGGAACCTATAAGTGACAAGAAGAAGAAGATTCCCACATACACGCCACCTTAATTGAGTGGCCTAAGAAGAAGAAGAATTTGTACGGCCCGTAAGAGTGTATGTGGATGAGGGTTGTACCAAGAAGAAATACATACATGCACCCCACCTAAACTGAGTGGCCTAAGAAGAAGAAAAGAATTTGTACAGTCCGTAAGAGTGCATGTAGATGAGGACTGTATTTACTCACACGGCCAGGGTTCTGAATCCATGCATAATCCGAGTCCGATCGGCAAAGAATAAGAAAGAATGAGAAATGATAAGAAAGTATAAGAAGGAATGAGCAAGCAAGAAAGAAAAAAAGAGAAAAGAAGAAAAGAATGAAAAGAAGAAAAGAAAAGAAAAGAATAGAAAGAAAGAAAAGAAAAGAAATAAAAAGAAAGAAGCATAAAAACAGAGAAAGAAACAAAATATGAAATAGAGAAGAAGAAAGAAAATGCATCTCTATGCATTTATGCATTTGCATCTCATCCATGCATGTTACCATGCTTCCTATCATGGTTTGTGAGAGATAAGAAAGAAGGAAAGAAAAAACAGAGAGAAGTAGAAAGAAAGAAAGAACCAAGAAAGTTAGAATGAAAGAACAGTGAGAACTAGACACAGCGAAAGAAAAGAGAAAGAATAAAAAAAGAATGAAGAAGAAGAAAAAGAGTAAAGTAAGGAAAGAATACAAAGAGTNCGCTGCCTTTAGTATAAAATAGCTTGAATTCCTCTCTCCATTGCTGATCACCTTCATCATGAGGCTCCGTTACATTGTACTTGGCCGTATCAGAATCATTATAAATAGGTTGTATTGCTTCTTTGGGTAGACGAGGCTCTACTATGATTTCATTAAAAGTCCTAATATCAATTTCATGTTTTTTCTTCAATTGATCAATCTGTTTGTATGCCTTTGCAGTTTCTTGTTCAGCTTCTATAGCTCGCTTCTGAAAAAAAGAAATATAGAAAAAACTATAAAATAAAATGTATCATTTAGAAATAGAAATATAAATACAAATCCAATAATTTTCAAGTAGAAAATTGATAATAAAGTTATGCTGGGAAGTTATCCATCCGATATGGAGTATTCAACAAGTAAAAACATGCTAAGGTTATAATTAAGAATAAATCATTTTCCAACAAACTAATGCAAACCATATTTTGAAAGAAGTTGCAGCCATAAGCAACAAGGAATAATAAGTTCTTAAAATCATGTCTTATATAGTAATTCTGATCTTTCGGTAGAGAGATTAACATCCAAGCTAAGAATGAACCAAGACAGGTATCCTTAGTACACACTGTACAGTATCAGGGAAGAGGAGTTTCATAAGAAAAAGAAATTCATGCAAAGTTGATGTTACATAGCCATAATCATAAATAAGGTTATGAATAATGAAGCAGTGTATGTAAAATGTATAGAACTTCATGAATTAACTATGAATGAATCAAAAGACAAGCTCAATTGCTCATATACAATAGTGTCTATATGCCTGTCAAACAAAAACTAAAGGATCTAAATCAATTTACAAAAAATTTATATATGAATGAGCAAAGATTAGTTAGCTTTCTCTCAAGTGAGGATTCTATTCATGACTGCCAAAAATCCTACATGTTCTAAAATCTGTGTCACTCTCATGGAGACAAATGAGTGGCCTTAAAACAAAAACATAGTGTGCTAAAAAATAGTATGGGAAAAATAACCATCCTAATCAAACAAAGGAATAATGTGCTCATAAATCCTCCAAGATATAGCGAAATCCCCATCACATAACAAGTAATGCAATTTCTATACGCCTGAAGTAAAAATATATCACAAAAATAAACAATAAAGAAAAGCTAGCGAGAGGTGAACTTTTCATGATAGAAAAAATTATAACAAAGCAGGAGGCACAACTGGGCAACTGCAATAGTTTCTTCTGCTTCTTTGAGTCGTACAAGTACTTTAGCTGCGGCTTGTACAGCTTCAGCAGTATCCCGCAATTGAGCTTGAAGCCCTTTATTCTCATCCCTGAGATATCTTCTCTCTTTCTCTTTTTCAGCTTTCAATGCTGAAATTTCAGCTGCAAGAGCATTTATGAACTTAGATTCAGCACCCATTACTCCTGTTCTAGTAGCCGCTTTCTTAACATCATCTATTCCTTCTTGAATCTTTCTGTGCCTTGCAAGCAATTGAATATGCTTTTCCTCAAGATCTGCACACCGTTCTAGCATGCGTGCATGTCCCTCTATAGCCATCTGCATTGCTTCCTTCAACTCTTCTGTACATTGCTTTTCAGCATCAAGTTCCTGTTTTTGCTTTTCTGCTAAGGACCTGCTAGCTTCAAGTTTGATCCTTAATTCTTCTGCAAGAGATATCCACTTGCTCTCTACCTTAGTCCAGTGGATTCTTTCTCGTTCAAGTTTCTTCTCAGCACTATTTTCGACTGACTCTGGGATTGTAGTCAGAGGTGGTGCTAGATTGGGATCACATGAATAAGTCAATTGCAAAATTGAGTTTTGTTTTCGAGCAGATAATGAAGAAGAGTCTATGTAGTATTGTAACTCGCCTCTTAAATCTTGAATCCCTTCCAAAAACACTTCCCTTTCATCCAAATCACAGAAATTCCGATCATTTCCAGCTTCTTTCATGTGTTCCCCAGCAGCACTAGCTAATTTCTGTCTTTCTGACCGAGCTAGATCAACAAGATTTATTCTACTTGTTTCAAACCTGCTTATACCATCTGCCTTGATCTAAAAGACACAAGAGTTTAACTCAGAAAACATCGATCACAATGAAATGAAACAAAACTCATGAAAAAAACAAAGATATTCAAGTACTCTGTTGTTTTTGCATGTCAATAGATTCTACTCTTACGTCAAAGTTAATGAAGCAGATATAACGAGCAAAATTGCACAAAATACCAGATTGCTTAGCTGGTAAAGAGTATTCTAATAGATAGACACAGATTAATATGCATTTAAGATAAACACTTTATGCAATCTGTAACTCATAATTTAAAGAAAAACTGCTAATTTTTAAATTGCAGCAGTTATTACCTTGCATCGAGATTCAACAACACAAGTGAAAACACTATGTGAGCGTGAGCTTTCTGCATTTATACTAGTTGCACCTGTCCTCCTATTTGACAATCCTTGCATCATAAAAACACTGATCATAAATTTAATGCAAGAAAAATTAAGAAATCAAACATATTAAAATCAGATATTGAGGGGAGACAGGAATGTTACAAGTGAATAAACCAATTTATTTTCCCCAAAATAATATTTAAGGTCACTAAGATCATACCACTTTTTCCATAACCACTTGTTACTTTCAAAAGGCCATTAAGGTCGTCAACACATCCATAATCGTCCACCTATGTTTACAAACTTTTTCAGCACATTTAGATCATGTAACAGACAAAAATGGTAAACTCCAAATGCAATAGAACCTCAAAGCACTATTATAGTATTAGCTTATCATGCATAAGATGTCAGATAAACAATAAGAACAGGCTGATGCACATCATATTGTCGTATAAGGGAACATGAATTTGATTAACTCTATGAACTTTTGAACATTACTAATATAGACATACATACTTTCCGATGGGCCTTTAGGGTGTCTTTGTTACATTAAATTGCACACGATTAAAACTTTTTAATATTACATGGCCTAATGCTTGGCCAAGTTACAGACGCATTATGAACTTAATCAGCCCACAATACAGTCTCAAATGCACTAACGTGAAGGGAAAGTGGGAGTTGGGACATACTGTATTAGCAAAATTAGAACCCCCATACTATATTAGCAGTCATTAAACAACCAATGTGTAGGAGATGAATGAATTATCTGTCAAAAACACAATTCTAATATAGGGATTATTTTGACCTTACGCTTATGCCCAATTGGTCTTCAAATCGAAATCCCTCCAAGTTCAATTCAACTTCCAAACCTTTGTTGATGTGATTACTACAAGTATCAAACATCTAGAAGAAATGAATGGTTAAATAGGTTAGCAAGTATGCCTTGAAGCACTCTCAAAAGATATACAGGTTTCCAATTATCTAACTTAGATAATACATTTGTTTGATTGTTGCAGGTTGAGCCAAAAAATTATCTTTAAATGTTATGATGAAGTACCTCAATATTCCATAAAAGTGTTCTAAATCTCTAATTATGCTAAAAGGAAATTAATATTATCATGTTTCAGCACTGAAATCAAAGATTAAAAGTATACACTAAGTACCACGGGTTAAATGAATATATATTGTGAAATAACATATGCAGCATTAAGGAATCTACCCCATTAATGCAGTTGACATGCTTAGGTTGTCAAATAACATATAATAATCTGTACAATCAATTGTGTTCCCAATACAATATATACGATGTCAATATATAAGAATTAACTTTAAACTGAGTTCAACTAAGCCCCTCCTTTATAAGATTAATCTTTGAGACTAATGATTTGTCAACCACCTTGGTCTGCATGGATTCGGAACCTTTGACCATGTAGTGTACTCTCTTCGTGTATATCTCTCATCCGCATGTATTCTCATGGCTATACAAATTCTGTTCTCATTCTCATTCCGCTCTCTCATGCGGAGACCACTCCCTCTCATGGCAGTTTGCATACGGGTAACTCTACACTCACGGTTCCCCATCGCATAACCTATTTCTTTTCTTTTGTAGCACTTAATAATCATTTTATTCTCTAGTGCTAGTTCTTTCTTTCTCTTTATTCTAAGAAATTGGTTCTTTTCTTTCTCTATCTTAGAGTGTTCTTTCTCATTGATTAATCAATTAAACATATGCATAAGGATGGCTCATGCCTAAAATTTTTCTTATATGCATTCATGACATGTCAATATGCTATGTGGCATAAAGTAAGGTTCTCTACTTCTACTCAGCTTCTTTTAGACATTTCATCAAACAATATGTGTGCATACATAAACTTCTATTCTAATTTTTAATGATACTTCTTTCTTAATCATCCAAATAGGAGTTCAACTCCTTTAAATCATCACACCTCCTGTAAAGAACACACTTCAAATATTCCTCTCAAATTCTTCTAATTTCTTCATATTTCTACACAAATATCAACACAATCCACCCTACTCATGGTGGAAATTCTTTCATAAAACAGCATTGAACCATTCATGAATTCATCAACTCATTCAAACATAGAAATTCAAGCATTAAGCTATATAATCTACACCATCATTCATCATACAATCCCAACTTAGGTGGATTTACTTACCTTAAGCGCAAGGGAAACCACTTACGCTCTCTACTCTTGATGGCTTGATACTTCCTCTTAAACCTTCAATACAAACTGAATAAGGATCCTACTCTTTCAACAAAATTCACATCTAGAGTAAGGTTCTCACCTTTTAGTGCTTAGGATCAACTTGTATCAATACTAGTCAAAAGCTCTTCACAATATCCTTGGAAAATTGAATGAAAATTTGAGATAATTGAAGGATGAAAGAGGCGGTGGTGAAGAAGCAAATGAAAGGGTTCCTAAAGCTAAACCCTTAATATCTCATACTTTTCCCCTCTTTCTAATATACCCTTGCTCCTTCTTTGAATTCGACCTATGACTTTCATTCTTTGCAAAAACATCCCCATTCAAACTATTCTCCATGTAATTTCCTTGCATTTCACTCCCCCCTTTTCTTGCTAATTAGGGTAGAATGGTCAATGAGTCGTAAAAGGGAAAATTCTCAAAACTCAAGGGAAAATTCAGCTAGTCTTCGCCGTGGCGAAGCTATTCTTCGCCCTGGCAAAAACTCATAGCGCTACACGGGGTGTAGCACTTCTATGCCGTGGCGAAGCTTCTTCTTCGCCCGGCAGAGGCTGTAACATCAAGATTTCGCCAAGTCTTAACAATTTTCAGGGCAATCACTCAACTAAACCAACACACCCTTTCAACCCAAGGGTCAACAAACCATATTAACAACATACAGACTCAAATGAGGATATCAACAAACCATTCAAGCCATTCATCAAATCTTAACTACGTACCTCAAGTGGCATTACAATAAGACCCTGTGACCACGTCCTGTGCCAATCATCTCCGTCTTGTGTTGCTCTCTTGTATAACAATATCGTCAGTATCAAAACGAATAGAAATTTAAAGAGCGTGTAAGTTTACTGACACACAGATTAAAGGGACAGTAGGGAATATAAAGCACAGAGTTTAATTCTAAGGAAAGGAAGGGTTTTGCATAACCAATAGCTTGAACATCAGCTTTGACCCATTACTAAAGTAACAGGGGATAAAGATGCGTATTTGTAATCTGAGTAAGTCAATGAGGGTTCCAGTAATATGATCTGAGGCACCTGAATCTAGGACCTAGGTCCTAGAGCAGAGACTGAGTAAGGCAGGCAACTAAATTACCTGTTTGAATGACGAAGGCAATGGTGAAGAAGACTGCTTACTGGCCTAATACTGTAAGTATTCATCATAATCATTACCTGTGAGAGTTAAGGAGGGTTAAACTGCACTTAGAGGACTTAGAATGAAGATTTAGTGATCAGCCTGAGCAATATTAGCAGCCCGGGTAGGTCGACCATGTAACTTAAAACATTCTCTCTGGTATGCCCCCACCGATGACAGTAACTACACTTGGGTCTGATTTCCTCTACCACCTTGATCGCCCCTGTTCTCTTTTAGTAAAAGTGTGGACTGAGAAACAAGAACCGAAGAGTCACCAGGGAATGCACTGTAGTAGGGAGGAAACACGAAGTAATTGGGCAAACACTTCATCAAGGGAAGGCATAGTAGATCCAAAAAGAATTTGATCTCGAACAGGTGTAAGATCTGGACCTAGAGCTGCAAGTGTCAGGACCATAAAAAACTTGTCCTGTTGAGCCAAATCTTCTGCCATAGATTTACCAGTAGTAATAGCAAATTGAATTATGTCTTAAGGGAGCCATCTTACCAAGGAAGTCTGACAAATTCATATCCTGTTGTTTGAGATGACCTAAGTTGGACACAACAAATATAAACGTTGAATGTCATTTGTATAGAGAAGTTTAGCTTGACTCCAAATATCAACATAACAACGGTAAGATTTGTAAATAGGGTGAAGGGGAGGATCAATAGTTTGCCATAACATACTACACAACAGAACATCCATTTTAGTCGAAAAGACTTATCTGATGTAATATGGCAACCTTGGTGGTCAAGTGATTCTTCAAACCTCACCATACACCATAATTGTACAGAGGTAGCCCAGGATGATAATTAGCAGTCCCAATTATCTATCAGTGGGGATGGGAGGGAGAGATAAAAAGAAAAACCACTTGGATGTGACTAAGAGGCTGATTTAGGAGGATCCATGAATAAGATCAAGTGTCTTGAAGCTGATAGAAACAAAGCTCCGCTCGCTGGAAAAACAAACACTCGCCAAAAACAAACTCGGAGCAGAAACTCACAGAAATTCCTTAAGGGTTTTGCCGCGAGGTGGAGAGGAACAAGATGTTGGTGGCGGTGAGATCCACGCTCGCCGAAAGAGCAGATCAAAGCAGAGGCAATCGGAAACTAGATCGGCGCGTTTAGCGGCGGCCGACCACGAACCACTTGTTTATGACAATGATGAGAGGACGATCAGTCTGGTATGATTAGACCAATCCTGATCGTTGCTAGAGAGTAGTCACCGGAGAACAGTAGCAGGAAAAAAAAAACAAAAAAAAAAAATTGGAACTTCAGAGACCTTGCCTTATACCATGTGAAGAAATACTTTGTTTTATTACATATTTCACAATGAAATGTATAAGGAATTTATAGCAAAAAACTATCTAGGAAGTAAATTGTTACTTCCTATTATAACTGATAATTTTTAAGCTTTGATCCTAACCTAATATAGAAGATGGTCTTTAATGAGATAATCCTATTTCATTTTACACTTCAACACATTGAAGTATTTTATAAAAGCAAAATGCTGCTCAACCCGAAATTCATCCATCAAGACGATCGTTGGAATACTTTCGTAACTCAAAGACTCCTATTTGCACGTGAAAAGCAGTACTAAAGTTGTCAAAATCAACTAACTTCAGTGCATCACTGAACATATAATATAAATTTAAACATATTTATATTGGAAGCAAACCTGCAAAATA